TGTCCAAGCTCTGTATGACAATCAGCAATGTGGTCAGATTCTTGAGCAGCGTGATCATCCGCTCGTTCTTCACCACGCCCTTGTTCAGCTCATCGACCGTCTTGCTGGCCTTGGCCCGACATTCCTCGCGCAACAGCGTCGGAGATATCATGGCCTGTACATTGGGATCCCGTGTGAGGCTGTTCGACAGCTCCTGCACCCTGGTCAGCTCGTACATGAGATCCCCGTTGATGCGCTCGAGCGTTATGATATTCGAGGCATAGCGACGCTGAAAGTCGTCGCGCAACTGACGGCGATTATGATCGGCGACAGCCTCGTCCTGGACCATCAGCTCACCCATGGCCAGCTCTGCGGTGGCATTCATCTCAGCCAGCCGCTCAATTTTTGCTTCCTTCAGGGCAATATAGTTCTGGAGCAGAACCAGATGCTCGAGCAGCTTGGGCGGATAGCCATGTCGCACCAGCTGCATCCTAATCGGACTCTCCCCAATCGCATCCTGGCCCAAGAGCGGATCACTCTTGTTTAGCTTCATGCTGAGAGCATTTCGTGCCGCCGCATTGTTGTTGATCAGATTCTTTTGGGGCGTCGAGGAGTTGTTGGTGCTGCTGTTGACATTGCCGGCAGCGGCGCCCAGCGGGAGACGTTTGTTTTGGTAGCTGCTGGCCAAGTTGGTGGTGTAGCCCAGGCTGGTGGTGTAGCCCATGTTGTTGGTCTGGTAGATGCTCATCAAGTTGGGCCGGAAGTCTTTGGTGAAGCTGTGCAACGGCAGCATCTCGTGAAAGTTCTCCGACACGATCTCATAGTCCGGTATCGACTGCGTGCCCAATCCCGGCCGCTCGAACGTCACCCGGTACATGGCATTCAGCGAATCGTAGGCAGCCACCGTGCCGGCAAAGATGCCGTCCTGTGGCGTGCGCAAGCGGGCCGTCACCTTGGTGCCCAATGGCAACGGCATTGGGATCTTCTCTGGCATATCCGCTATCAGCAGGGTGTCCTTCAGGTCGCCGGACTTGCATGACTGCAGTGTGCGCATCAGCTGCCGCTTGCGCTCCAGCTCCCGCCGCTCCTCGCTGAAGAATGCCGACGAGCAGCGCCTGGGGCGGCCCATGCGCCGCCTGATGTTGACCCATTCGTGGCGGTTCAGCTTGCGCGTGCCCAGACGTGGAGCCAGCACGTTGACATTGTTCATAAAATCGTACTTGCAGTCGAAGAGCGGCTTATCGATGTACGAATAGAACCACTCGGCAATTGCCCATTTGTGGGCCTTGGGCAGCTTCAGGAGGTTGCGCAACCGGAGCCCGATGCTTTGACCCAAACGCTTATTGGCCACCACCTGCGCCTCGGCTTTCCGCGCTGCATCCTCAGCGGCAGCCGCAGCTGCCGCCGCCGCAGCGCCCTTTGTCCCGCTTGTGGCGCCTCGGCCCGGTCGCAGATGYCCGGCCAGCTGTGGCATCTGCTGCTGCTGCCCCTTGTCACCGGCTGTTGGGGACGTCGCCCTCAGTGGCTGCTTGCCCGGCGTGGACTTCTTCTGCTTGTCCGTCGCCTCCGCACCCGAGTTGGAGTTTGAGGTGGAGGCACTGTCATTGGAGCGCATGTAACGGGACACGACGCCCTTTCGCTTCTTGAGCACTTTCGAGGGAGTCGTCAGCAATTTGCTGGGACTGTCGCCGGAGCCGCGGGTGGACATCTTTTTGGGAGCCAAACTGACGCGCAACGGTTTGTCATCGTTGATGATGTTCTCGTCGTAGAAGAGCCGATTTCGCTTTCGTATCCGGGCGGGCATGCCACGTGCATTCAGCGGAAGTATGGGCGGCTTTTGCGTCTTCGGTTTCGGCGGCTGCACAGTGCCCACGCGCTGCAGTCCAAGCGTGGCCAGGCTAAACGCCGGCGTCTCCACTTGCTCTTCGGTATCGCTCGCCTCGTTGCTGTCCTCGGGCGCATCGTCCTCCTCGGCGTCGTCGCCCTCGTCATTCGCCAGATCCGCCGCCTCGTCGACCGTGTCGCCGTCATCCGCCGACTCCTGCTCCTGTTGCTTTTGCTCTTTGCCACCTTCGCTCGACTTAAGCGACTTCCCGTGCGTTTTACTGCTCGCCTCTACCCGCTCATCCTCTTCATGGGAGGGCCGTGCGATTTTTCGCACAGCAGCGGCTGTCTTTCTGGGCCTCCCCCGCTGGCCGGTGCTTCTGGTCTCTGTCTCGGGCATTGTCGCCGTCTGCTAGCTGGAAAATTGAAAAACATGTTCAAAATATTCTTAAAGCAAGTACGACTGCTCCCTTCCGGATCGCATCTTTTAACTGCTTCCCATTAGACAAGGAATGCCAATTTTTGATGAGGAGGCAAAGAAATATATCGAAGACAATAAGAAAGCATCGCAATTCTGAGACAAGTTTCAGTGAGATAACTCCCTGAGATAACTCTGATCTCTTATGATATCGATATGCATTTCTCTATCCTGTCTCTAGCCTCTCTAAAATATTTATTACAAGATTTGTTGATTTATATAAGAGACTTTATGTATTCATATAGTACACAGTTTAGAAAGAGACAGGTTGATAGCACGAAAATCAGGCTTGATTAAATAAGAGCGACAGAGAGCATATGTATATAGAGCTGCATGGATATAAGCTCAATAAAATTGAAAATACTCATAACTTTACCATGGAACTAAAATCTAAAAGCGAAAAGGGAATTAAATTTAAAGAATTAATTACGGAAAACTTAAAGCTAAAACGATTAAAATTGACAATTATATTAAAGTAAAAAAATTAAAAAAAAAAAAAACAGTTATAAAGGAAGTGAGACTGCTTAACTACAAGAACCTTTCGAGGAATTCTCGGAACTGATATTTCAATAATTCCTCACCTCCTCTCTGCATACACAAAAAATACACACACACACACACACTGCGGAGTTGACGCAGCGACCGAGCTTGGACTGCAATTCGATCGGTATTTAAGTTTCCAAACTTAATTGTTTGATAACTTTTGTTGTAGATGGATTTCCATAATCAGACTTTCAGAATGTGAAACTGGCATTGATATGCGTAAGCCAAACCGCAAATCTGTAATATTTGAAATATCCTTGTTTTTGATATTGCAAATATAACAAAAGTCAGGATCCGAAGTATGAAATATATATGAAACTCACATTAATCTATAGGCGAAATCACGAGATTTTGACACACTGGTGGCAGAATTTCAAGTTTTTAATCGATAACATTACAACAGCAATGGCTATCGATTTTTTTTAAAACAAACTTAATCGAACAACAATCTCGATAAATATGTAAACAAAATAATAAAAAACTTTTTTATTTCATTTTTGGTTTTTGAC